TATCTAGTGACTACTAAACACTAATTTGTCAGAATGTAACAACCAAATACTTATAAATGTTGCATAAAATATTAATCCTAGAAGTAATTTTGTGTCTTTGGGTGCAAATTGAGTGCAGATTACGTATGTGAAATGTTAGTATTCGTTGTTATATAAATATAATTAATCAATGGGTAATCTGTTTAACAGCTTTCTCCGACTTTACCAATAAGCTATAGTTCAAGTGCATCTGACAAGACACAAACAATTAAATGTACGCTTTATCCAAGTTTGTCCAATCCCAAACTGTATTCATAAACACAACATTTCTAATTTGTTTAACTTTTCAAACACCCAGTTGAGTAGTATTCCAACATTTTTTTTTTCAACTAGCAACAGTGATCATCTGTGCTTGAAGAAATGTTTTTTTGTGTTTAAAAAATTATTGTTTATGTCTCTTTCTTAATTTTAATGATATTTAAGTATTTGGATCATTGGATTCTTTTGCAGGACAAGAAGAAGAAATAAAGACCTGAGATTAACTTGCCTTAGACATCACATCGGCAAGATGTTGAAGTTTTTTTTTTCATTCTTATCTCTCAATTTATATACATCATAATTATTTTTCTGTAAATTTTTCCAAAATTTGATATTGAAATTGAGTTGTGTATAATAAGTGCATAAATCTATTGACACTGAAAAAGTTGGATCATAAGCTGTGACAGTAAATAAGAAAAGCGTTGAAAAGTTGTAAAATCTCAACCATCTGTCTATTCATATGTATAAGAATTGGTGATGTTAGATTGTCAATATCTTTTCTTCTAGCGTCCATAGCTTGTAATGTTTTGAATAAATTAAAGGTACCAGTTGAGTAGTCATGTCACAGCTTGTTTCAGTTTTTTTTACATTAACCCTATATGAACACAACAGTGTGTGCTGTCGTACTGTTTAATATTACATTATCATATTCATTTAAATTTAAAAAAATGTGTTGTGGCATAATTAATATTATTGTTATAATGTTCTTTATATTAAGTTTTTATCTATCTCTGTATAAGCTAGTTAAGTCAGGCTTCTTCTTGTTTGGAAAAGACTTTATAAAATAGGCCTCATATGTAACTCAAATGGTCAAACATAAGATTTTTTCGAAAAATGCAAGCAGTTGTTATGAGGTATAAACTATTGCAGTTGTAGTGACAACATTATCCCATATATTTATATAAGAGGCCTATTATATTACTGTGACTAGTGATGGACTTTATCACATTACCATTGTGCATATCATCTATGTACTCAAGAAGTACAAACTCGTTGTACCGTTATTATTGCTAGGAGTAATTCACACTGGATAACAACAATTACTTGCATTTATTTACTTCAATCTATTTTGTTAGAATGTAGGTCAGCTGATGCAATTTAGACATTAACTTAATTGAATACATGATTTATAAGTGTGTAATTCATAAAAGAATAATAAGTGTTTTGAGTTGGTCATGTAATAAAATGTGCTTTAATTAGGGTAAATATGGTATATCCCAACTATGAGTTGTTACATAAAAACTGTATATTGATTGTGCATCTTGCCAGTCCAGCTGTTTTATGAGCTGTACTTGCAAGGAGGGTGAATATTAGTTTCTTGCTATGTGCCCAGCACCTTGCAAATGTCATGTAGTTATATTAAAATTTCATATACAGTTTAATAAAGCACTTGGATTACTTGGATTATTTTTTCTATACATGTTCATTTCTATGGACATGCATCAGTTTTATCCTACTTCATCCAGATTAGCAGATATTATAATTCACTTGGTGACAAAAATAATTAGTCGTTAATTAGTTCCCGTTCGGACGAAGTCCGAAAACGGGGACTTATAATTCGATCTCCGTGCGTCCGGAGTCGTTTCTCAGAATCCCTTGGACCGATTCCGTTCATTATTTGCATGTGCCTAGTACTTTATGTGGGACATATGCACATGCAGTGGTTTAGCGATTCGATTCAAAATGGCCGACTGGCAGCTATCTTGTTTTTTGAAAATGTTGTATTTTGGACATGCTTTGTCAGTTTTCATTCAAACTTGGTACATAGATTATACATGTTAGGATACATGTCCATGATGATTTATTTCACAATTGGATCAAAGATGGCCGACTGGCAGCCATCTTGTTTTTTGAAAATGTTGTATTTTGGACATGCTTTGTCAGTTGTCATTCAAACTTGGTACATAGATTCTACATGTTAGGATACATGTCCATGACGATTTATTTCGCAATTGGATCAAAGATGGTCGACTGGCAGGCATCTTGTTTTTGTTTTTTTATGCGGTATTTTGGATGTGCTCTGTCAGTTTTCATTCAAATTTGGCACATACATGTAATTTATACATGTTAGGATGCATGTCCATGACAATTTGTTTCAAAATCTGGTCAAGGATGGCCGATTGACAGCCATTTGACTTGTTGGCCTTACTACTATATTTCTACAATTTATGTACCATTTTCATTCGTATTTGACACATACATCATACATATCAGTGTGTTTCATAATCAGATCAAAGATGGCTTAATAACGGCTGTTTTTATTTTGGCCATATTACTATGACACGAATCACGTGTTTTGATGTAAATAAACAATCTGTTGTATACGCCACTTGGAACTCAAGTTTCAAGGACACGCTCGCGACAACCCCTCCGCTTTAATATGACGAGCACAAAGAGAACTTAACGGGGACTGTGTCATTTTCAATGACTTGTTAATTCTATGTCAAGTCATTCATATGCAATAAAGGTTACAGCAACTCAACTTGCTGATAGTCTAATAATAATTGGTATCTATGTAAAATCATATTATATGCAAGGTAGTGTGACCAAACATGTAGTGTCTGGATGTAGTATTATAGGCAGTGGTGTTCTCATGTTTATACCATTTTGTAACAATTACACTCATAAATGCAACTGAGTCTTTACAAAATCGACATAGTTTCCCAAAGCTGGTATGGTGAAGCAATAGGGTGTGTGACCCCAAGGTGGCATGAGGGGTGTGACCCCGAAGTGGCATGGTGTGACCCCGAGGTGGCATGGGGTGTGTGACCCCGAAGTGGCATGGGGTGTGTGACCCCGAGGTGGCATGAGGTGTGTGACCCCAAAGTGACATGGGGTGTATGACCCTGAGGTGGCATAGGGTGTGTGACCCTGAAGTGACATGGGGTGTGTGACCCCGAGGTGGCATAGGGTGTGTGACCCTGAAGTGACATGGGGTGTGTGACCCCGAGGTGGCATGGGGTGTGTGACCCCGAAGTGGCATGGGGTGTGTGACCCCGAGGTGGCATGAGGTGTGTGACCCCAAAGTGACATGGGGTGTATGACCCTGAGGTGGCATAGGGTGTGTGACCCTGAAGTGACATGGGGTGTGTGACCCTGAGGTGGCATAGGGTGTGTGACCCTGAAGTGACATGGGGTGTGTGACCCCGAGGTGGCATGAGGTGTGTGACCCCAAAGTGACATGGGGTGTATGACCCCGAGGTGGCATGGGGTGTGTGACCCCAAAGTGACATGGCGTGTATGACCCCGAGGTGGCATGGGGTGTGTGACCCTGAAGTGACATGGGGTGTGTGACCCCGAGGTGGCATGGGGTGTGTGACCCCGAAGTGGCATGGGGTGTGTGACCCCGAGGTGACATGGGTGTTTGACCCCGAGGTGGCATAGGTGTGTGACCCCAGTGAGCATAGGGTGTGTGACCCCGAGGTGGCATGAGGTGTGTGACCCCAAAGTGACATAGGGTGTGTGACCCCGAGGTGGCATGAGGTGTGTGACCCCAAAGTGACATGGGTGTGTGACCCTGAGGTGGCATGAGGTGTGTGACCCCAAAGTGACATGGGGTGTATGACCCGAGGTGGCATGGGGTGTGTGACCCTGAAGTGACATGGGGTGTGTGACCCCGAGTGGCATGGGGTGTGTGACCCCGAAGTGGCATGGGGTGTGTGACCCCGAAGTGGCATGGGGTGTGTGACCCCGAGGTGACATGGGGTGTGTGACCCCGAGGTGGCATGTGGTGTGTGACCCCGAAGTGGCATGGGGTGTGTGACCCCGAGGTGACATGGGGTGTGTGACCCCGAGGTGGCATGGGGTGTGTGACCCCGAAGTGGCATGGGGTGTGTGACCCCGAGGTGACATGGGGTGTTTGACCCCGAGGTAATATGGGGTGTGTAGCCCCTATACCCCAATATAAACCAAGTTATGATTTGGTATACCCCGTTGCAGATGAAAAAAATGCCTCAAAATACAATGCATTGTGGGAAAGTATTGCTTGAATCGATCGTCACCATTCGGCAAACGGTTTGGACAAAAACGTAACCATGACACTTGCAGGTGTTCAAGAACAAAAAATAAAACCATTGGAACTAGAATTTTAAAATAGCTCCACCCGAGGCAAACATAATTAGGTGACACAACGCAAGCAAATCCATACTCCGTTCTTGACAAAAATCATTCAATATTACCGACCGACCACCGATGTTATTTGTAGACAATTATCACCCCGGCCTTCTTCCACCGAAGAAGAACCTGTAATTGCACTGTCACTCGTTTAGCAGAAGTCCTGGTTCCAAAATGGCGCCACCAACGTTGTATATTCTACTGGTAAATTATTACAGGTTGTCTGGTTATATATTAAAAAGGGTCACGATTCCGCTAAGTACAATTTAGTTAAACTTTAATATTCACTTTTAATCACGTGGTCTGCCCTTCCGCGTGCTACAGAAGGTACAGGTTAGTGTTGCTGCTGGATTCAATGAAGATTGTTTTGTTTTGTGAATGTAGTCTAAGGAGCTTTTTCCTGAGATAAGCCAAAAATCACTGACATCACAGGTGACGTCATGATGTAAAACGGAGCGAGAGCCCGAGCCAACGCCTATCTGATTACTGTATTAATAAGCACGCTCTAAATGAACTGACGATATGACAAGGTCAAAGAACACGACCTGTGAAATTGACCATGTGTCTATTTAGCATATTCGTATTTGTTTTGCATGCTTTATTTGTGATTGATAACGTTATGCTTATTATGTTTTGTTTACACATGTGCAATATAAAATGTGTGACGTCTAATCAATGGTATTTCTATTAGTCATTATCACTTACCGTACAACGCGCCTTCATTTATATCTACATGTGATTTTCACTGTTTATTTGCCCTGATATGATATTTAAAATGTCACCCAAATCACAGTCCCTCTAGCCCTAGAAGGACTGTGTCCAGATTAAACCTTTCTACAGAAATTCCCAACGCTGCTGTTCAAATAAAATCATGAAATGTTCAACATATTTTTTATTCTGTCATGGCCAATGTACCATACCGTACCAGTTGGTATCGTTCGGCGTGGGCCTAGGTTTGTTTCGAACCAGGCGAGCGTGCCCAATATTGGATGTTACTAAATTCAAGTTGTTCATGTGAAAGTTGCAAGTGCAGGAGTTGTTTTTGGTTTTGACAATGGGTGGATGCGAGATTTTGCCGTTGAGTGCTTGACATGAACGAGTTCTTTTGTCTGGTGTAAATCGTTCGATGTGTAGGTGAGATGAGTACCCTATGGCAGTAAGTTTTGTCATATGTGCCAAATTAAGAGTAAGTGGGTTATAGATGTGGTCATGTTATATAATGACTTGGCAGTGAGCAGTGGTCTAGATGTGGAAATGGTAGTCATGGCAACATAGTTTTTGATGTGGGCATGGTATATTTTGGCAGTTAAATGACAGTATGCTAGTTACCAAGTACTTGAACTGGGAAGATATCCACTTATCATCTCAAGCATCAAACGTATGATTAACTACTGGCTGAAAATAAAACATATGGATGAAACCACTCTGATCTCTGAGGCCTACAAACTTGGCACCAATTTGGACAAAGAAAACGTCAGTAATTGGACCACAGGCATAAAAAAATTACTGAACCTTTTGGAAATTAGTGATGTTTGCGAAAAAACCAGTATTATCCCATTAGCTACAAAAAAACTAAAAAATATGTTTGAGAAACACTGCACAGAAACAATGCATAATGACAATAAAGGCACTAATCACAAAAATAAACTTCGTACCTACAGACAGCTGAAAACTGATTTTGCACTTGAAAAATACCTTGAAATTATTAAAAATCCCATCCACAGATCATCTATGACTAAACTGAGGATAAGTGCCCACATACTTCAGATTGAAGTTGGGCGATATCACAACATAGATATCTTAAATAGAACATGCCCTGTCTGTGACTCCAATGAATCTGAAGATGAAGAACACTTCCTCTTCAATTGTAACCTGTACAAATTTGAAAGAGATGCTTTGTTTAAAAACTTATCCGGTAATCTGAAAGCACTTCTCAATAACAAAAATTCTGAAACTGTCCAAGCAATTGCCAAGTTTATCAGCGACTGTTTCACTAAAAGAGAGAACTTCATGAAAAGCGATTTACCAGCTGCCTCAAAATAACACCAAAAAATATTTATATAATAATATTTTCACAGTATTACTATTTATTTATTTCCTTTTTTTTTATTATTATTGCTTATGTATTTTATTGTTCCTTATATCCTTATTGTATTCTAATCTAGATCCCAGAGGGGATACGATATCAATAAAGGTTGTTATTATTATATGAATATTTGGAAAGCCAAAGGACTAATCTTAATTCTAAGCGGTTTGGTCAACAATTAGACGCAATACAATCAGTAATACTA